ACCCACATGCCTCCATACTCCTTATGCATCTATTAAGCAACTGTCCGCACAGGATTGAATGTTTATTAGAGCCTCACCTTCTTTGCTCAAGCACTTGGGAACCCCGATGGGCAGAAGCTTGTTCTCTTGTTGTGTCCCCAACACCTGCACAGTCTTAGGACATGCAGACGATCAGTAAGTGCTGTGCAATCAACATGCCCTGCTGTCAATCCAGAGCTCTCCCACCACCCTGTAAGGCTTCTTCTGTTGTGCATTGTCTTGCCAATGGGTTTCAGCCCCTAGCAAGTTTGCTATGGATTCAATGTGACCAAAGAAATTGACAGCAAAACGTTCTTGGGGTGAAAGGGTTATACCCAACTTTATTTCCATGTGGCAGTTCAGTCACTAAAATACCATTCACTCAGAGCGAGTCTGCATGCAGCAAGCCAGTCTCTACCTCTGGGCCCCTCTGCACAGCCGTCCTCTGGGCCCCTCTGTCTGCACAGCTGTCCTCTGGACCTCTCTACCTGCATAGCCATCCCACACAGCCATCCTCTGGGCCTCTGTCCTCGGTGCTGCCACCACTTGAGCCTCTGCTCTGCTTTCCTGCACTCATACAGCCGTGCTACCATGTCGTGCCCAGAGCACTGGGCAGAGCTCTTTATATAGAGTCAACAGCCATGTATTGCACACAGGTGCACAGTGAGCCAGTAAGCCAGGGCCAGGTGAGAATCCTGGCCACAAGAACTCTCATTTTATCCACACGCATACACAGGTTGATGCACATGATACTCAGGAGTCAGAAAAACACAGATTTCTCCCAAGTGACATGTCCTGGCACACTGACCTCAGGGGAACTCAAACCACTCAGAACCAAAGAATATGGGAGATAATATGACGTCCCATTGGCAGCTCAAAGGGAATGGTCTCATAGTTTTCATTATGAATGCTTCTTTCAAAAGTATCAGGAAACACTTTGACACTTTTGGGATGAACTCCAGTTCACCTTTTACTTTTGTCCTGTGCTGAAATAAGAAGGGAGTCAAGAAGCAGTAGGAAATAAACTCTCTCCTTGCAAGTAGATTCCTATGACACTACTAAAAAAATCTGCATTGCAAGCTTCATGCTAATAGCTTTCATTTATGCTTCCTAATGATGCCCAAGCCCTTACAAATTCATTTTGAGCCCTCTTTGCTTCCCTTTTGTTACTATGCCATCCTTTAAAAAAAATAGTAATGCTTTGGCTTCAACATGTAACTTGACAGGTAACTTAAAAGGAAGACTTATAAAAAGTTCTTTTCTCAATAAGGTCAAAAATTGTTCCCGTTATTGTCTATAATAGCTTTCATGTCCTTCTGAATATTTATTCATTTTCTTAAAATATATGGAGGGATCGTATTTTGGTGTTCTTGGATGAACTATAATTACATCAGGGGTACTGGGACTTAATTGCACATTTAATCTAGGCTGGGTATTTTGTGTTTCTCAAGTACATTTTACACAGTACTGATAATAATTTTTGATGGAGTAAGGAGATGGAGCACATGTGGACATTTAAGTAAATATTGATGGAATAACTGAGTAATATCTTCTTATTAGCTGAATCTAGCAGCTTGAATTTTTGCTTTTGTTTTTGGGTTTTTTTTAGACCATCCCCTGAATTCATCTTCTGACTTTCACCATTTATAACAGAATCTCAGTGACTCCATCCAGACTCTCCCTAGCCCATGTGTATTACTAAGAAGAAGCAGCCAGCCTTTAGGCTCATTTGATCCCATAATCTCAGGCTGTTGGTAGCTGTGTGTATCTTCCAGTGGCCAAGCTCACAGGCCTTCAATCTCCCTCTGTTTTTAATGCATAGCTATCAAACTGCATATACGTATTCAGCTTTGAGGCATATGAAATGGAATTGTAAGCTGCAATAATCCATACAAGAAAAAGGTTTGGTTTAATGTATGCTTGCAAATAATGACAGCATTCCCTCTTTATCTTTCTGGGGTAAGCATGACTTCATTGTGAAATACAGGTGCAAAGTCCTGAAGTCGCTCTTTGGTTACTACAAAAAGTCAGTCTATTATGTAAAGACAGAGAATGGAGCACATTTCTTCTATTAACCACTTATTATGTCAACAAGCTAAGTAATGACTACATTTTTCTTTCTACATACAGCAGTTTTGTGCATTTAGCAGCATTATTCCTTGAACAGATGTGTCTTTTCAAAGTTGTCTTCCTTTCCTGTGAACTTAGGATTTCTTCTTAATTGGGTGCTTGTGAGCTGCAACTGCTTCAAAAGGTGTTTCTGAAAGCACCACTGAGATTGCTCCGTGCAGAGAGCCAAGCAACATGAAAACCACAATATCACCGAGAATGTGAGCAGCCAGCTCCACACATCAAGTACCCAATTAGCTCGTATTCTTTGGCTAAATATATGCCACAGCCAATGTAGTCATCCTCAGTGCTTTGATTCCGGCTGCCTTAGAAATACCTGGGAGTTATTTGAATGTTGGCAGTATTAGAACTACAAAAGATAAGCATTGAGTCAGTCAGCAAACTGAAGAATTTGACAGCAAAGACCTGGAGGCTGTATCAAATTCCCTCCATGTTAGGGTTTTGAATAACTAAGCACAATAACCAGCTTTTGGCTCAGCACTCCCCTTTTTCAATAAAAAGAAGCATTCCCAAAGAATCAATATCTAAAGCACATTAGGCAACTACTATTACTTTTATGATTCGCTCAATGCCGAGTGTTAACAAAGAAAACTTTGCTCCTATACTTTTGAAAGGCACCAGTAGAAGCTGGTAACCAAATTGATACCACTTTTACTTATAAAAAATATCATAAGCTCTTGGGTCACCTTCAAAATATGGTCACGCTCTTTCCCTGGAGCAGAGTTACTGTGGGATCAAGTGACTGAAGAAACAAGGAGAGGAAGTGAAACAGCCACTTAGCAGGAAGAGCATAGTGCAGCTCTCCTTGTTTGCCTCTCTATCCAGATCAAGGTCATGGAGATTCAGTGTGAGCCCAAGTGGGTCTTCAGCAGCAGACACCAACAGGCTGAACCTGGCACGCACCAGTGTTTGTCTGACAGCTGCATGTGCTCCAGCCAGAGCTTCAGTAAGTGATCTGCTCTGCTCTGCTCTGCAGAGGAGGGCTCGCCCTGCAATTCCCCACTGAGTGGTGAGGTCCAGTAAGAATTTCACTGATGTTTTTAAATAGTCTTGGCCCCAGCAGGCCAACGTGGGCGAAGCTACTGGGGTGTGCCTGTGTGTGTCTGGCAAGGCTGTGCAGCTCTCTGGTTGCTGTTGGAGGAGAGTTTAGAGGGGACTCTTGAGCTGCCCCCCAGAGACACTGGTAAGATCTGTTTGCAGTGGTTCGATAGAAGAGCTTGTGCACGAACATGCTAATGGAACTGCAGTATCTGATGATAACAGCAGGAATTGGTTTCCCTCTTTTATGGAAGGGAAAATTGATGTTGAGGTCTGTTGGGAAAAACCACTTTTCCTGTGAATAAGTTATGGGGACCCCTTTTGAGCATCTTTTAGGAGGAAACAGCAGCTCCAGACTCAAACTGCCTAAGCTCAGAACCTGACAATTAGCTACTGCTGCCCCAGCGCTTTGCTTCATTTTCCCAGGCAGGGTGAGAGGAGGAGGGAGTGGGAATTAGCGGGAAATGAGTGCAGTGAACTCATGTTCTTCAATTATTGAGACTTGGGGACTCAGTCTAGTCTACGCCATCCAGCCTGTTACCCTTGCGTCAGCCGTTTGCTTACGTTTGTCTTAATCAGGGATCATGACTTGCCACATAGTATAGAAACCTTTGTGCGTCTGTCTGTTACTCAGCTGTGAGCTCCTTGGAAGAAGGAACACTGTTCCTCTCAGGTCCCAGCCCAGTGTCCAGCCTAGAGAAGGTGCTAATAAACAAAATTTAACTTAATTAAACTAAGGATATTAAGAAGTTAGACAAGACTTAGTGAAAACTCCAAATCCCATGTCTTGATATTATCTGCTCTATCTGCAGAAAATGTGCCAAGAAACCAGAGCAGTTGGTCCCCCAACCATCTGAAGGTATTCTACTTTCTTCACTGCCACCTTCCATTCTGATCCTTTCACTCCAGACACGTAGTAACGTCTTAGGGCCTTCTGGCTGCTGTGATAGCAATAAGATCCAATGCCCTTGTGGCAGGAACTCTGAAATCACTTCTCCTGATGCCTGCATTTAACTAACAGCTGCATACTCGTAGGATTGAAAACAGAACTAACTCAATATTTTTACAGAGCCTTTTGTACGAAGAGCTTTTAAATGTCACCAAACCCATCTTTTAAATGTTTGTATGTGAGAGCCAAGTAGCCATATTACCCTCCTCAGAATGTGAAAAGGTAATTACTTCCTCGTGAGCCTTGTCTCTGCCTCCTGGCCCTTCCTACCCTCCTACCCCTCCACCCCCAGACTACTAGCTCATCTCTGAGAGGGCACAGCTAGCAAGAGAGGAAAAGTGCAATTTAACCATTTAACCATTGGCTGGTGTCTTTAGAAAAGCCCGGGGATACGACTGCGGGTGCACAAGGATTGGGAGAGAAGGCTGCAGAGGCACTTAGGATGGATTCGGGTTTATTATCTGAAACCATCATGCTGCCTGTCACACACCACCAGATGCAAACATGAGCAGCTCAGTTGTTACCCTACAGTTATTTTGTAGAGAGATTCCTATGGTGGCTCCCCCAGAACTCTGGGGAAGCTCTGCCTGCTTTGGTCATTCTGGGACAGCGGGGCTCCAGATTACTCTTCCGTCCCAAGTGCTGCTGATGGCAGCGTCTTACTGTGGGAGTGGGTCTTACCTGGCTGCAGGCTGCCATGTCAAGAGCAGAAACCAGAAGGTGTCAATGCCTCAGACTACACTTGGCTCACAGCGCAAACTTAGCAACTATCTGACTTTAGAATTGCCTTGACTCAGACCTGCCATGCATGATTCCAAGGGCTGAATCTCACTACTCTGCAGAAGAATCAGAACTATTTCTCTTCGGAGAAAACCAAAGCCCTGTTTCAATTTATGTTTAAATGAGACGAACATAACATAACGCGGCTCTCAGGAACACATAGAGCTAAAAGCAAACACCTCCCTAGAGCAGGTGTTCAATACAATTTGGCAAATACTAGCACAGGCATTGACCAACATAAAAAGTAAGCAGAGAAAGTCTAGGCTAGAGAAGTACCCCTCTGACAGAGTCCCACTGAGTGTCCCAGGTGTGCACTCAGCTATGCTTTTTGTCCTTCAGGTAGCTGGACAGCATCTCCAGGCCCCCCTCCACTAGCTCCGGCAGAGGCTTGGATAAAGGGTTGTGGGAAATGTGGAGCCCTTTGTCCATGGGATTCCAAGCGATCTTCACCAGTCTACACAGCAGGTAGAGCTCATTCGGGAGGGTCTGGATGTCATTGTTGTTCAAGTTCAGCAGCTCCAGGTTTGAGAGCAGGCAGAGTGACCTCGGGAAGCAGTGGATATTGTTGTTCTCTGCGATGAAGATCTGCAGACTGGCCAGGCACTGGATGCTCTCAGCGATGTTTTCCAGGCGATTGGAGCCCATGTGCAGGAAATCCAGTTCCTTCAGTGAGAATACACAGATGGGGATGTGAGCAAAGTAGTTGTTGCTAAGGTTCAGCTTCCGCAGTCGGGAGAGGTCAGCCACGCTGGCGGGAAGCTGGGAGAGACGGTTGTGCGACAGGCTCAGGACCTCCAGACTCTTGCAGGCTCCCAGCTCAGCCGGTAGCTCCGTCAGGCAGTTCATGTTGACAAACAGGACCTTCAGGCTCCTAAGGAGGCTGATTTCTCGGGGCAGGCTCTTCAGACGGTTCCCACACAGGTTCAGGACCACCAGCCGACTCAGCCTCCCCACTTCAGGGGGCAGAACCCTGAGCTGGTTGTGAGAAAGGTTGAGTTTCTGGACCTCAGACAAGCCCCACAGAAAGTCAGGGACATCTGTCATGCCCTTGGTGACCAGGCTGAAGCTGACGTGGCGCATGCCCCGCTTCAGCAGAGAGCGTGGGTCCTTTCCCAAGAGCAGAGTGTCATCCCACGGGGAGAATTTCTGCCTGCCCCGCAGGAGCACCATCCCCTTGGGGCCCTTGTCCTTGGACTGCGCCCTGGACTGCCGGGCCCCCATTTACCTTCCTTTCCACCCACTCTCCTCTGTCTCCTGAAGGCTGGGACGGTGTCCTACCCTGGGCTGTCGTTGGCAGGGAGTGGGTGTGGCAGTCCAAGTGGAGGGAGCTCACAGAGGGGTCTCGGCAGAGCCTCACAGGTGTCCAAGGCGCCCCGCCGTGGCCACAGGACAGCAGGCTGACTCTGAGGCTGGGTTAGGTGATTTCTCTCTGAGCAGCTGGGCTGTAATGGTACACTTATCCCTGAGCCTGCAGAAGCTGAACCGCTTGATTCCCTCTGAATGCCACCAGGCAGCTGTCACTGTCATTCTGCCCTAGTCTTATTGGCCTGGTATAAGCAGAGGTCACAGGGAGGCTGTGTCTGACTTTGCTTGGGTATCACAGCTGAGCAAGGTGATTAACAAGCCCACCTCCGACAAGAAGTGAAATGGAAAAATAAAGCTGGCCACAGCAGCGCCAGTCTGTCTGCACTGTTGCAGGACCCCTCCAGGCTCCTTCAGAGTGAAAGCTGGCTCAATGCTAGGGACAGTTATGTTTCCAAAGATGAGGATCATCAGACGATATCATATGTGTCCATTTCAGACTTTATGGATTGTGTAGCTGTGAAAAAATAGCCGAAGGAGCCTGGACACCTGGCACCCTCTAGACCAAAGGTTTTAATGCAAGGCTTGGCAGAAGAGGAAGTGAAGGGGGTCTGCATCCTCACACCCATGCCAAGCAGAGATACTCCACGGCCATCTGTTTTACAGTAGCCTTCTGGGCTCAGTAGGGCATGCCTTAACTGTTTGAACTGCCACTTGAGTGGCCACCTTAATGAGGTAAGCACAGGGTGCCCATCATCCTAGAAGAATAGTATAGAGAGGCCTCCCTGGAAAACACCAATCTCCCATTCTCAATCTCTCTCTCTCTCTCTCTCTCTCTCTCTCTCTCTCTCTCTCTTTCTCTCTGTGTCTCCCTCCACACTCTCTTGAATTGGAACAGTTAATGAATGCCCTAAGCATATAAAGTGCATTGTTGGTGTTATGTGCTGACTTGTGTCCCCCTACCTTCCATATGTTGAAGTTCTAACCCCCAGGATCTCAAAACATGACTGCATTTGGAGATACAGCACATGAGAACACAGGGAGCAGACAGCCATCTCCAAGGGTCAGAGTCTCAGAAGAATCCAGTCCTGCCAACAGCTTGATCTTGAACTTGTAGCCCCCAGGATTATGAGAAAACAAATTCGATTGTTTCAGCCACCCAAAACTGTGGAGCTTTGTAAAACAGCCCCAGCAGACTAACACAGTTGAGGTAGAGGCAGGCACATTTGCAAGGGTGAAAAATCCTGAAAATAGGTGGTAATTAGGAGGAAAAGAGCTCCAAGGCTGAGGACCCAGGTTCTGAGAGAGGACTTGAGTTTTCAGCAGGGCTGCCCTGAGCTGGAAGCACGTGGCTTTTGCTGGCAGCAACCCGTGTGTACACCACTCAGCACAGTAGCTGTGTGTCCTGGAGAGCGATGCTGGTCCTGTGGCTGTGGTCTCACCAAGGCAGGAGCTCCAGCTGGGCCCAGGCTGGGCATTGCCTAAGGAATCTGCAGGTCCATCCACAGACTGGCCAGCATCTGGGTGGAAGGAGCAAAGGAGGGGCAAAACAATGTGAAGCCATTTCTCACGCCACTTGGCATTGAAAGAGTTCTGACCCCTTTCAGGTGAGTAAGCCCCTGGGATTCTTAGATAAAGGTGGAGACCATGGAGTTCTTTATAATAGAGTACTTAGGTGTTCTAGCTTTTTATGGGGGGGAAATAATATGGCAAACTTTGTACTCTAAGTTCTTAGAGCAGATCATGCCTCATATATGTAAATTTCATATGACACTAGAGTTCTGCTCTTAAAAAAAGTGGTATGCTCTTTCCCTCTGTCCTCCCATGATCATGAGAAATTATGCTAGAGTCCCTGAAATGTAGGAACTGAGATGATTTGAGCAAGAATCAGCACCTTACTTGTGGTAATTCTCTCTCTTTCCTCTTAACACATTTTTGCCAAAAAAATACTTTTCGAGCACTTACCAATAGTCAGTACTTATTGACTGTTTACTATGTGAAAGGCACTTTACAGGGAGAATGGGTATTCAAATGACCTCCATTTTGCAGACAATGATATGAGATATGCAGAGGTCAAGTTGCTTATGCAAATGAAGTCATTTGTCCAAATTCAAGTGTCTAGTCAGTGGCAGAAACAGGATTCAAACCCAGCCCAGGCTGGAACATAACAAGACTTTGGTCTTAGCCTGGTAGAAAGATGGAGTAACCATAGCTAGGATTTTGTTTTCAAGTTACTAAGGGGTAAGGAAGGAGGGAACATAGGTAAAGAAATGACTATGTATGTGCACAGAAAAACTACATAATTAGGCATTAACTCTTCCTACTTTACCCCTCACGCAACTAGGAAAAACAAAAGTAAAAATATCATTCCAGACTTTGGCTTAATGAATTTAATCCCTTCCAAAAATAATTCAGCTCTCTGGTGAGGTTCTCATTTATCCAGTGAATGAGCTGTGTGGAAAAGTTGATTTTGTTTCTTCTTTTTGGGGGGATGTAGTTACTGCCCACTTAGTTAGCCATGGTTATCCAGGCACAGCATGGTCTACCCAGAGGACGGTCTCTGTCTTTGGGTTCTGTTCCCACCCATGAAAGCCATTTTGGGGGAATCATTTCCAAGAACTCCTTCCCACTCTGCGAGTCAGATTCCCACTACAAATGAGACCACCCTCGGGAAACCAAAGTCACATTTAACCTCTTTTCTGATGAAAGCATACAAACAAATCCAAGAGAGCTCTTATTTTGCTCACGTTAATATTGGTCCCGGGGAACGAACAGCACCAGGAAACACTGCGGACTCTCAGGCTCACTGTGAAGCCCACACATCTGGCTTCTGCCAAAAGACACTTTTTCAAGGCTCTCTGAATGGATTTCATTTGGGATAAGTCTCAGAATGAAGCTTTGCTGGGCAAGGTTCTTTTGCAATTCCAAGGCAGGGTAAGTAAAGGATTGTCCTTAAAACCTAAGGAAATTAGAGAATACCTGAAATATAGTTAGTAACACTCCATGTATTTACTACATTTTTATGTATTCCAGTTGATTCTTGTTCCAACGCATGCAAATCAACATTTATTATGTACTTTTTCCTAGATAAAATAAAAATGAAATGATGAGAATATAAAATAGTGGGTTATGGAAATATCCAGTACCCCTGAATTCGTACTAAAGGAATATCTATTGAAAAATGGCTCATTTTATTCTCACTCTGGCTTACCAGCTTATGTGTACACATCCTGTCATTCATTTTGGAAGAAAGAAATGTGTACATTTAAATAGTTTATTAAAAGAGCCATTTTACTGATTTAAAATTTTAAAGGTAGAAAATATAGAAAAGTAAGAGGAGAGATACCCAGTTAACATACTTTGTGTGTGAAAATCTAGGTCTTTTTCCTGTGCATATATACTGCAATGTATTTTATTTTATCCAAAAAAAATTTTTTTTCCTGTCTTAGCCCAGATTTCCTCAAAAGCAGAGCTTGAGGCAAAAGCTATGGGGCTAAAATTATACTGAGGTGTAAAGCCAGACAAGCCAAAATAAGGGGGGCCTGGGAAGGCAGATGAAAAGGAAAGTGAATCTAAGCAGTGCATTCTAAACTGGCCGCATGTCTGCATCACGCACAGCCTGCTGCTAGGTTTCACAGACGTCTGGGGAGAGGCTGCATTAAAGCATCCTGCCTCAGAACAGTCCATGGTGAAGCACCTGGAAAATGGATGTAATAGTGGAACCCAAACAACAAAATTCCCTAATTCATGGTTATTAATTGCATATGACCCAGAGTACAGTGATGGCTCATGGTAAGACCTCTGTAAGTGATAGTTGTTAGGTCGATCACAGCTGTTATACACATACACCACCCCCTGCCCAATGTGGCCCTTGATCAATTTACTGAACATTCTCCCTGCATTTGAGTTATATTTTGTCCTTGTTTATGAACTTTATACTCTCTTCAAAGCCAATCAAATCCATATCCTTGAAGCATCTCTCATTTATTTTTCACTCACATTATACTGACAGAGTATTTACTTAGTGTCAGGAGCTGTTTCAGACACTGTCATATGGTCTATTTGATATGCAAAGGACTTCTGAGGTCAATATTGTCCTCATGTTAAATATGAGGAAGCCACGCTTTGGTGGGGCTAACGGACCTCCACATCACAAAACTAGCTAGTATCAATTTCCATTAGCACCTGTATCTTCTGATGTAAATTCTATTCGCTTTCTACATGTGAACACTGGGCCACCCTCTGCACAATTTCTTCCTTGGTAAAGTGGCCTGTTACTATTCTGATCAGAACATGCCTCAGCCTTCCAGCTCATCACCACTCAGGGGAGGCAGACCAGCCTGCAGTCAATGTCATATAAGCCCTGGATCCTGTGGTTTCCCACCTTGGGGTTTAAACCCAAGTTTATTGCTGAAAGTCCATGTGACCCTAGGCAAGCTACTTAGTTTGTGTGCATTTCTATCTCTTCATATGTAAAGTGGAAATAGCCACAGCACCTTACAAAGTTGTCACTGGAATTAAATGACTTAGTAGTTCAGGGGAAGGTTCTCAGGCAGAGACACCCACATTAAATGCTTTTCTGTCTGAGTCAAAGTCCCCTTCCTAAATCACTCATCCTCAAGTTTGTTCACTGTCTCACCCCATTCATTCCACTGACATTTGCTGTAGGAAGATCCTTATCTCCCCTGGAGCCCTGGAACAATTCAGAGGACACAGTAGGTGCCCAACAAATGAGCACTGAAATGAACAAACGTTTGGGCCCTGATGAAAAGTTGATGTGAGAAAAGAACACTGCAGAAGGTACTTGGTTGTCCTGTTGGGTTTTAATTGCTTCTCTGTTAACCATACGTTGACGTTTGTCTGCTTACCGAGTCCCTCCAAGGATTTCCCCCGCCTCCTGTGTGCCAGGGCCAAGCACCACATCCTGATCTCACCTGCCTCATGGTGCCTTTTTGAACAAAGCTTTGCCAGACAAGTCAAGCTGGTTTTGTCTTTCTGAGGACCCAGGGCACCTCCTCAGGGAAGGGCCCGGTCCTGCTCACCTGCAGCTGCACAGCTTCGGGCGGCGAGCCTCGGACCTCTGCATCCTCCTCTGTGTGAGGGATGATTATGCTTCCTCCCCAAAGGCCTGCATGGGGTCCAGCGGATGCCAC